GTATGTATGGACATTCGACAACAGGGATTAGATACTTACTTAGTTGTTTAAAATGTTCTTCTATGCTTAATGGATTCCTAATGCTTAATTTAAGTTAGACAACAGATGATCAAATTAGGGAATTATGAATACAAGGTTAGGACCATACACCATGGCTTAATCATACTTTAGCTAGAATCAATCCGTTAATCTAATTGAACTTGGGAATTTATCTACTTGAGTTATTTTCTTTTCTTTCTTTCTTGTTTTATTTATTTTCTTTCTTGTTTTTCTGTTTTGTGTAAGAAAACTGAATTGGATTATTTAATCACCAATCCCTGTGGAATCGACCTCGCACTTACATATGCTATACTAACGAACGGCTCGTGCACTTGCGAGTATCATAAGTTGAGGATGCAGCTGAATCCATTTTGGTGCAGCTGAATCGACGCAACAATAAGTGTTGTGGCCATAGCCAGTTTGGCCTCCTTGAGAACCACTAGTATCCCTGGACAACATAGAGAGCGATTTCGGAGCAGTAAAATAGGTGGCCGCCGGCATCTTTGATGGGAGAGGAGGCAAGGGAATCTCGAAGTTAAGCATTTGAATTGCTTGTTGTATTGAAGGCCTCATATTGTAATCTGGGTGAGCACACCACAACCCAACAATGATCAGGCACTCCATTTGTTCCTCATCAAAATCTCCACATAGTTTTGGGTCAACTGCTTCAATGGCTCTCCCTTCTCCATGAAGCTCCCAAATCCACTCCACCATATTTATTTTACAAGTTCCAAACTTTGGATCGATGGCCTTTCTCCCGCATGCTATTTCCAAAGCAACAACTCCCAAGCTGTAGACATCTGATTCTTTGCTAGCCTTTCCGGTGTTGAGATAATCCGGAGCCATGTAGCCCATGGTTCCAGCCAGTGCTGTTGTTTCCGGCTCTTGTCCATGGTCAACGAGCCTAGCTAAACCAAAATCCCCAAGTTTTGCGTTGAAATTCGAATCCAACATAACATTACTCGATTTAATATCCCTATGTAGCACGCATTGTTCCCATCCTTCGTGTAGATAGAGCAACCCAGAAGCCAAGCCTAGAGCAATTTTGTATCTTGCATCCCAAGTTAGAAAGCTTTGTTCTTTGAACAAATGAGCATCTAAGCTGCCATTGGGCATGAACTCGTATACAAGTATGAACTTTCTTTCATGACACCAACCAATAAGTTTCACAAGATTTCGATGCCTAAGTTGACTGATTATCTTTACTTCCGAAGCATACTCCTTGAGTCCCTGTTTAGACTCCATAGATATCCTCTTCACAGCAACAAATGACTTCAAGTCCTGTAAAAACCCTTTATAAACCCCACCAAACCCTCCCTCTCCAAGATTTTCTCCCACCCCAAAATTACTCGTGGCGTGAGCCAATTCACTATACAAAAACTTCCTCGGGCCAACCCTCTTTTCGAATTCTTCATCAATCAATTCATTTACCATAGGATTTTCATCACTACTTTCGCCTGCATCCCTCTTCTTCCATAAAATGAACCAAACCAAACCCAATACACCAAGCAAGACAACAGCACATCCACCAATGCTTACCCCAATTATTAGTCCAATCCTGTTATCATTTCCTGACTTGGTTGCAACGTCGACCTCATGGCAATCAACTAGTGAAGTTGAATTGAAATTCCATGAGAAGATCTTAAACAGAGCAACATAGTTTCCAGTTGAAGCGGAGAACCCAACAACGACCCAATCTGGCAAGTAGTCTTTCAAATTCACCATGTAATCAAGATAATGAATCACTTGGACACCATCCACAAAAGTAGTGAAGGCAATACTGAGGTTCTTTGTGGTGGAGTTATAACTAACAGTAGCACTATTTTTTGTACCGTTCAAAATTCCTGCTGTCCAATTCTTGGTTATAATAGACTTGAGAGAGTTGACGTTGATACCTACATGTTCGTGCGCAGGGTCGTCGACGATTTCATGTGTATTCTGGTAAATATCAAACTCCACTGCCACGAAAGGGTACTGATTCCTCGGACCAACAACGTTTGGAGTTTTGGAATCGACAGGGAGGCCGAGGCTGCTACCACTGCCTAGTACGTTGTTGAGCGAGGAATCATTTGGGGCTACAAAGAAAACGAGACCGTCGCCGTACTTGGAGTTGTTGTTGGAGTCGATGGCAAAGTTGAAACTGGTGGTGAAGTCAGCGAGTTTCCCGGTGGCGTTTTCTCGGTGGAGGAAGGGTTGGCGATAGGTGGCTCGGCCCATGCTATTTTCGCCATCTGTGCTGCTGTCGGTGAGGCCGAGGATTTTGGTGTCGAAAAAAGCGTCGCCTTCTTTAGTTATGGTGGCTAAGTTATTGCCGTTGAAGCTGGAGAAACTGAAGTTTAATGGAGTTGCAGAAGGGGTTAACAGAAAGAAGAGAAGGAGAAGGAATTGAAGCTTTGGTAAGTGGAGGGTGTTTGTGGTGATGATGAAGGCGGAAGAGTTACCCATGACAGCCATTTTGGAAGAGAGGCTAAAAAGAGGTAGTAATAGTAATGAATAACTTTTTGTCCATATATAGGAAGCAAGACATGGCAGAGGTATCCGTTTAGCCGAATTCAAATATATATTGGCTTTAAGGCTTGAGACAAGTTGGTTTAGTCTGAGTCAATGAAGAACTGGTTCGATGACTTGGGAATGGAGAGTTCAATATTTCTTGTATTAATCTAGTGGTACCACAAGAATACGTTGGGAGTGAAGCTGAAGGGCAGAATAAGTCTCCATGGACGTACTTGACGGGAGAATGGAATGGACTTTAAACATTGTTTTTGGATCGAATACTTTGATAATCATGATAAACTATAATTTTTGTAGAATGTTCTTTATGTTTTGTTCGTTTCATTAGGGGAGGTTAGTTAATATACGGTTACTTTGTTTGTGCACAAAGAAAAGTGATGTAGAATAGTTAGCCGAGATGATTGAGAGCAGCTTGACGAGAAATTTTGTACTCAGACACGGCAAATTTTTTTTTATATAAGAATTTTACTCCTTCAAAGACTCATACATCCAACACCTCTCTCTTCAACTTTCTCTTCCTCTCTCTCATTCTCCTTCTTCACCGAAGTGAAGGGATATGAGATAGAGAGAGAGTTGGTGGTGGGTGTTGCTAGCAATGACACAGTGGATGGGGGGAGAGGCTCGATCCAGAGGGAGAAGAGAAAGGTGCTAGATGTGTGAATTTTTAATACAAGTGATAATCTAAACATGCTCCCTATTTTACCCAGATCCTAATTATTCTCACCACAACAAAAATAGAGGAGGGTGTTCGAACCTAAGACCACTAAACTGCAAGTCAATGTCCTTTTCCATTGGCTATACCCCATTGGCTATGTGTGAGTTTATGGATGAAGATTTATCCGAAATATATTTTCTACATCCCTTTCAATTGGTCTACAGTAGTCACTAGCAAAGGTGCCCGCGCGATGCTGCGGGTTATAAAACCGTTTGAAATGTGTACAAAATTATGAAAATATGTAGGAAGTTTAAGTTAAAAAAATAAAGACTAATAACATATTTTATACGTTGCTTGTCATCTTAAAATATTGATTATATTTTATTAAACCAAGCAGCAATCAAAATATCAACAATTGAGGTGCTCCTTGTTCAAAAGAGTTTGGACATGTCTTTACATATATGCTATTGGTGGAGGAAGGGGCTTTTTCTGCCTTGATGTCTGTTGAAAGGGGATCTATCTAGGGATCTATCTCTTGTTGGCTCTACTGTAGAAGTGGTTTCTATTTTTCCTCGTCTTCTGCAGGGTTTTAACTCTGTTGGTACAAATTCAGAAAATGGTAGGTGTTAATGTAGATAAATGAAAAAAATTGAGTGAAGTCAATAACTATTATCACATAATTAATATCAACAGGACAAACAACAGTTTAGATACATCAAGCATTCTATTAACAGTGAGAAATTAATGTTCAAGCAAATACGTAGGTTAAAATCAAGTTTGTAACAAATTATTAAAAATGGTATAATAGCAGTTGGCTATGAACAAATTTAAAAGAAAATTCCAAAAAAAAGGATGAAATACCAAACTTTCATTGAAATCAAGAACACAAATAAAACATTTTGAACAAAAATTTAATTACTTTGAGCATAATATTTAGGGAAAATAAGTGAA